GTACCACTCCGAGGCTTTAGTCTCAAAGTTGGTCTGGCCGAAGGAAGGTGTATACATCATTCGGAAGTGATTCCTTATTAAGGGTCCGTATGGCGATCAGGAAATCGCAGCTTTTGCGTGTGATGGAAGCAGTATTCTGCTTATGTCACTCTGAAGACAGAGGCGGGGCTGTGTAGACCACTGGGTCTTTCTTCTTTTCTTACATGGAAAGAAAACTTCTTACATATTCACCTAGCAGTAAGTAGGTACTCAGCCGTTAGTCACCTTATTGTGGGGTTGCATCCTCGGCGGGGTCAGTAAATCGGCCTTGCGTGTGTGTGTGTGTGTGTGAGGGGGGGGGACCTCGATAAAAGTCTATCGTGTATGAACAGTGTGTCGATAGTGTTCTCCTACACAATGAATTCTAAAATTATATTCTTCCAACACTTCCTATTTTTAGGTGATATGGGGCAACCGAGGATTCCCCACATCCTCACTCTAACACACTAACACCTCCGGTGGCAATTGTAAATGTATCGTCCTGGCGCTGGACCCTACTGTACAATGCATGAACACTGTACAGTGTATGTACACTGTATAGAGTATGAATATTTCTACTTGTAGATACACTCTTCCTTACACTGTATGAGATGACTAAAAATGTATTTCTCAGCTAGGCGAGACCAGTCTCAGATCCTCTCTGGTGACTGCTTCCGTCCTCCTCTTGCTGATAACGACAAGGTTGCAGAGTTATGAGAACTCTGTGCAGAGAATCTACCTGTGTTAATCTACAACACAGCTAGATTATCATACAACTCGGGTATGACTTTAATAAACAATGCTGGTAGGTATTGTATCACACGGGTACAGAATTATACAACAGAGGCACCCCATTATACAGCAACAAAGATTCAGTCTTATATTTCATGGATTTGGTGTTATACAACATTAGGATTAAAGTATTATGAAACAAGGGTACGGTGAAATAAAAAACGACGATTACAGCATTAAACAACATGGGTACAGTGTTATCCAAGAAGCCGTGTACAGTATTATATAACACTGGTAAAGTGATATATAACATCACGGGAACAGAATTATTCAACAATACCGGTTCAGTATTATAAAACAATGCGGGTACAGCACTATAACAACAGGGATACAGTGTTATACAGCGAGACAGTGAAACACTATAACATAGGTCATTTAATTAGTTATACTACAATCTGGAATAAGCACATTATGTGTGTGACACACACAACCTGCAAGTGTGTGTCACCCAAACACACCAAAATCGCATAAAATAAAACGTTTGTTATTTGAGTACATAAACTGAGTTCCATGGTGCTGCTCACCCTCGGCCACCTGACTGCTCCTAAGCACCTCAACTGACACACTTGCCCCCGGGGTTGCGTGAAAAGATAATGGTACAATATTTTGAAATATTTCAGTAACAATGCACGCAAGTGTAGCGACTCGTAAAAGCCTTGATACGTTCACAGTTCTCTCATTCAAGTAGTAATCTGTGAACGCCAATGGTCCTCAAGTAGCATTGGACGTACACTCAAAATGTGCTCTCCCTCTCTCTCAAGTAACGATTCACATTGTCAAAATATTATCTCTTTAGTAGCAGCCTTAGTACACTCACAGTACTCTCCCTCAAGTAACAGTCCTCCTACACTCACAGTACTCTCCGTCAAGTAACAGTACTCTCCGTCAAGTAACAGTCCTCCTACACTAACAGTACTCTCCCTCAAGTAACAGTCCTCCTACACTCACAGTACTCTCCCTCAAGTAACAGTCCTCCTACACTCACAGTACTCTACGTCAAGTAACAGTCCTCCTACACTCACAGTACAGTAACAGTCCTCCTACACTCCAGTACTCTCCCTCAAGTAACAGTCCTCCTACACTCACAGTACTCTCCCTCAAGTAACAGTCCTCCTACACTCACAGTACTCTCCCTCAAGTAACAGTCCTCCTACACTCACAGTACTCTCCCTCAAGTAACAGTCCTCCTACACTCACAGTACTCTCCGTCAAGTAACAGTCCTCCTACACTCACAGTACTCTCCGTCAAGTAACAGTCCTCCTACACTCACAGTACTCTCCGTCAAGTAACAGTCCTCCTACACTCACAGTACTCTCCGTCAAGTAACAGTCCTCCTACACTCACAGTACTCTCCCTCAAGTAACAGTCCTTCTACACTCACAGTACTCTCCGTCAAGTAACAGTCCTCCTACACTCACAGTACTCTCCGTCAAGTAACAGTCCTCCTACACTCACAGTACTCTCCGTCAAGTAACAGTCCTCCTACACTCACAATTCTCTCCCTCAAGTAACAGCGTGTACACCAACTCGTTCATTCCAGTAACATCATTACTCACTATTCATCAAATTAGATTTCTCACAACACTCATATTGAAAATAATTTGTTCCACATAATTACTTAATGTTGCTTTTTAACGATTGACTATATAACGTGAGACGTAGTGAAGGTGACACCACTGAGCTTGTAATAACCTACATTTGTCGTAGTGAAGGTGACAGCACTGAACTTGTAATAACCCACATGTGTCGTGGTGAAGATGACACTACTGAGCTTGTAATAACCCACATGTGTAAGTAGTATAGTCGTCCTGACTACTTTCCAGACTATATACCTTGGTTAAGTTACCATTTTACTCTCCAATGGTACCACCATGAGCCAAGTCACTTACAGACATCAAATTTGCTACACAACTAGTATGTAGCCCTGACATGACAGACATCTTGGTCACTCAACACTGCGCTTTACGACCTATAACTCGCAAAAGGTTTTCTATCAATGAAGCTCAAGAAGTATCCCTTTCTTGCCCTGACCACACTCTAAAAGGTGAAGGAACGACGACGTTTCGACTTGAGAATGGCCCAGGACGGACCGAAACGTCGTCGTCCCTTCACCTTCTAGTGTGTTGTCTGTCAACATACTTTAGCCACGTTATTGTGACTCATCGCCTGAAGTATCCCTTTCTTAACAGGGTCAGAGACCCGTGTGGGCAGGTTCCTTGAAGCACCTCTAAGGAAGGCTACTTCCGAGCCTAGATACTGGTATTATCCCTGGCATACTAAAAATAGCAGAGATAATCATAAAGGAGGGAATAAGGTAGAGGCAAAAAATTACCGATATCACTAACATCACACATCATAAAAATATTTGAAAGGGTGCTAAGAAGTAAGATCACAAAATTCTCGCAGCTAGAATTTTTTATTCACAGCTAAACATTGTTACTCACAGCTAAACATTGATATTCACAGCTAAACATTGTTACTCACAGTTAAACATTGTTATTCACAGCTGAACATTGTTACTCACAGCTTAACATTGTTATTCTCAGCTAGAACAATGTTACTCACAGCTTAACATTGTTACTCTGTTCCGGATCAGCAACGCTGGTCAGGCCACTCCACGAGCGTATACTTGGGTAGCGCCCTAGTCAGGAGCCTCGTGTGATACCACAGATCACTCTCCTGTCCTCAATACCCCCAGTGGTCAATCGTCTCCAGCAGTGGGTCCCGGGTACGACAATCCTTCTACTGCCACTTCACTGGCAGGGTAACACCACAGTGTTCCTCCGGGAGACGACTCACAGCTGCTGCAGCAAAGCACAAGGTATGGGGATGGCTGCCTTGGGTAGACTGACTCAACTTCCCTTACAGCAGTCCCAGGTCGACTCTGTAAGTAGACACGTCATCAATAACAGGGACACACTCAAGCACCTCACTTACAGGCTCAGACACAAACGCCCACCTATCCACTCCATAGATGGCGCTGTCGTCTGAGCACCACCTCACCAGAGGTCAGCAACGGCTGTGTTATGTGCTGAACAGGACTGGAAACTGGCCCTTGTGGCCAGTACACTTCGTCCTCACCAGGTGGCGTCGTCCATTTGGTGGGGGTTTCGGGAGCTGACCCACAGATGGCGCGGTCGTCACTGCTCCGTGCTCGGACGCTGGATTCGGGTCCGTAACACCTCCCCACCAAAAAGAATTTGGTTTGGGTTTCTAAAAAGAGAATCACAAACCAAATTAGTACGGTTCGGGTCCGTATTGTGACTCATCGCCTGAAGTATCCCTTTCGTAACAGGGTCAGAGACCCGTGTGGGGAGGTTCCTTGAAGCACCTCTAAGGAAGGCTACTTCCGAGCCTAGATACTGGTATTATCCCTGGCATACTAAAAATAGCAGAGATAATCATAAAGGAGGGAATAAGGCAGAGGCAAAAAATTACCGATATCACTAACATCACACATCATAAAAATATTTGAAAGGGTGCTAAGAAGTAAGATCACAAAATTCTCATACCTAGAATTTTTTATTCACAGCTAAACATTGTTACTCACAGCTAAACATTGTTATTCACAGCTAAACATTGTTACTCACAGCTAAACATTGATATTCACAGCTAAACATTGTTACACACAGCTAAACTTTGTTACTCACAGCTAAACATTGTTACGTACAGCTAAACATTGTTATTCACAGCTAAACATTGTTACTCGCAGCTAAACATTGTTATTAACAGCTAAACATTGTTATTAACAGCTAAACATTGTTATTCACAGCTTAACATTGTTATTCACAGCTGGACATTGTTACTCACAGCTAAACATTGTTACTCACAGCTAAACTTTGTTATTAACAGCTAAACATTGTTATTCACAGCTTAACATTGTTATTCACAGCTGGACATTGTTTAGGTAATTAATAATTATTATTTTCAGGTTATTTTCTCTTCAATTAAAATATTTCTGTGTTTTAATAAAGCTTTATATTTTCAAGTAATTGTTTTAAATATGATATTCACCAAAACTAACTGTCTTTGACAAAGGGAATTTACGTATGGTGTCTATCGGTAAATGTCCCCAATCACGGGTCTCTGGCGCCAGACAGGCTGGTGCCAGGGACGGGGGGGGGGGGGGGGAGGGGGTGGCTCTCATATATGATGCGGGTCTCTGAGTGTTGTGTGGTTATCCCAGTCGTCCACCGCACCAGGGTCTGTCGACAACTGCTCCTGCCTCCTCCAGTCTCATCTGAAGTGTAAGACGCTTGTGTCTGCAACTGTTTTTTACGAAACGTATTGTTTATGCCTGTGTGTGTGTCCGTATGAAGCTCATCCTCCTAAAATGCAAGTACTTGTTGTAACGATGAGATCGCTCGTGCAAATATGAACCAATATATAGTAGATTTCTGTATTATTGAATTTGGGCAAACCGGAATTTGTTGTTCTATTTTATGTTGCTATTGAAATCTAACCTAATCATCCAAGGCGTAATATACGCTTTGTGTGGCCTAATAGAGAGCATATATTTGCTATACTAGGCCAATGAATATTTAAGCTTGGTCTTAGCATCATTTTTTTGCGCACTATATAATAAATAGTACTAAATGCTATGTGCTGTTTATCCATCACGTCGATACTTAAACGATTGCGCACATAGTTACACAAAGTACTATCCTAACAGGAGGATGGGCTGCCTTATGGGTATGTGGCAAGGCGTATGTGTTTTGGTGTCATTAATTGTGTGTATTTTTAGCATGAGTGTGTGTTAATGCATCCATGAGTCCATTAGTGAATGTTTCCCTCTGTGTGTATATTACACACGGCTTTCATTACCGTGTGTATGGGACTATATTTATGCCAATATATAAATATTTTCATTTGTAATTACCAATAGATATTCTCCATAATGCTACTTCGGTTGATCTTCAGTTAATATTGAAGCCCTCGGCCTACTATCAGGAGTCTGAAGTCGTCTGTTTCTGTACCCAACCTCGCCCAAAGAACACTATATCGACTATTACTAACACAATGATTCTGCTCATTCGTTGCTCCAATTAAATTGACTTTAAAATTGTGAATTAGTTATTCTAAAACAGCTTCTTTATCTTATCGAAACCATTTGTTTACAACCCTTCCATAAATGTTTTTCTGACATCTTCATCATTAAATAGTTTGTCACGTTCCCTCTTTATTTATCACTCTGATGTGCACCTGAAGGTATATTGGAATTATTTATTTTCACGTATTTGCTCTTAAAGTTTTACATAGAGTTTTTTTTTAACACCGTCTCCTTCTTATTCATTCAGTTTGTTCCCACCCTCCTCTATATCTTGTGCTGATAAGTCTTTCTTTGTACACTTTATGGATTTTTCAAGTGGTTATCATTCCTCTCGTCGTCCACCATTCCTCAGGTGTGCTGTCTTTCACAGCTCTGAACATTCCGATGTAGTTCATGCCTCGCAACTATGGGAAAAGCCTTATTTTACTATCTCAAAGGTTTAGTTAATATGTCTTCTAACATGAGTACCACTCCGAGGCTTTAGTCTCAAAGTTGGTCTGGCCGAAGGAAGGTGTATACATCATTCGGAAGTGATTCCTTATTAAGGGTCCGTATGGCGATCAGGAAATCGCAGCTTTTGCGTGTGATGGAAGCAGTATTCTGCTTTTGTCACTCTGAAGACAGAGGCGGGGCTGTGTAGACCACTGGGTCTTTCTTCTTTTCTAACATGGAAAGAAAACTTCTTACATATTCACCTAGCAGTATGTAGGTACTCAGGCGTTAGTCACCTTATTGTGGGGTTGCATCCTGGGCGGGGTCAGTAAATCGGCCTTGCGTGTGTGTGTGTGTGTGTGTGTGTGTGTGAGGGGGGGGACCTCGATAAAAGTCTATCGTGTATGAATAGTGTGTCAATGGTGTTCTCCTACACAATGAATTCTAAAATTATATTCTTCCAACACTTCCTATTTTTAGGTGATATGGGGCAACCGAGGATTCCCCACATCCTCACTCTAACACACTAACACCTCCGGTGGCAATTGCAAATGTATCGTCCTGGCACTGGAACCTACTGTACAATGTATGAACACTGTGCAGTGTATGTACACTGTATAGAGTATGAATATTTCTACTTGTAGATACACTCTTCCTTACACTGTATGAGATGACTAAAATGTATTTCTCAGCTAGGCGAGACCAGTCTCAGATCCTCTCTGGAGACTTCTTCCGTCCTCCTCTTGCTGATAACGACAAGGTTACAGAGTTATGAGAACTCTGTGCAGAGAATCTACCTGTGTTAATCTACAACACAGCTAGATTATCATACAACTCGGGTATGGCTTCAATAAACAATGTTGGTAGGTATTGTATCACACGGGTACAGAATTATACAACAGAGGCATCCCATTATACAACAACAAAGATTCAGTATTTTATTTCATGGATTTAGTGTTATACAACATTAGGATTAAAGTATTATGAAACAAGGGTACGGTGAAATAAAAAACGACGATTACAGTATTAAACAACATGGGAACAGTGTTATCCAAGAAGCCGTATACAGTATTATATAACGCTGGTAAAGTGATATATAACATCACGGGAACAGAATTATTCAACAATACAGGTTCAGTATTATAAAACAATGCGGGTACAGCACTATAACAACAGGGATACAGTGTTATACAGCGAGACAGTGAAACACTATAACATAGGTCATTTAATTAGTTATACTACAATCTGGAATAAGCACATTATGTGTGTGACACACACAACCTGCAAGTCACCCAAACACACCAAAATCGCATAAAATAAAACGTTTGTTATTTGAGTACATAAACTGAGTTCCATGGTGCTGCTCACCCTCGGCCACCTAAGTGCTCCTAAGCACCTCAACTGGCACACTTGCACCCGGGGTTGCGTGAAAAGATAATGGTACAATATTTTGCAATATTTCAGAAACAATGCACGCAAGTGTACCGACTCGTAAAAGCCTTGATACGTTCACAGTTCTCTCATTCAAGTAGTAATCTGTGAACGCCAATGGTCCTCAAGTAGCATTGGACGTACACTCAAAATGTGCTCTCCCTCTCTCTCAAGTAACGATTCACATTGTCAAAATATTATCTCTTTAGTAGCAGCCTTAGTACACTCACAGTACTCTCCCTCAAGTAACAGTCCTCCTACACTCACAGTACTCTCCGTCAAGTAACAGTCCTCCTACATTCACAGTACTCTCCTTCAAGTAACAGTCCTCCTACACTCACAGTACTCTTCCACAAGTAACAGTCCTCCTACACTCACAGTACTCTCCTTCAAGTAACAGTCCTCCTACACTCACAGTACTCTCCCTCAAGTAACAGTCCTTCTACACTCACAGTACTCTCCGTCAAGTAACAGTCCTCCTACACTCACAGTACTCTCCGTCAAGTAACAGTCCTCCTACACTCACAGTACTCTCCCTCAAGTAACAGTCCTCCTACACTCACAGTACTCTCCGTCAAGTAACAGTCCTCCTACACTCACAGTACTCTCCTTCAAGTAACAGTCCTACATTCACAGTACTCTCCGTCAAGTAACAGTCCTACTACACTCACAGTACTCTCCGTCAAGTAACAGTCCTCCTACACTCACAGTACTCTCCTTCAAGTAACAGTCCTCCTACACTCACAGTACTCTCCGTCAAGTAACAGTCCTCCTACACTCACAATTCTCTCCCTCAAGTAACAGCGTGTACACCAACTCGTTCATTCATGTAACATCATTACTCACTATTCATCAAATCAGATTTCTCACAACACTCATATTGAAAAATAATTTGTTCCACATAATTACCTCATGTTGCGTTTTAACGAATGACTATATAACGTGTGACGTAGTGAAGGTGACACCACTGAGCTTGTAATAACCTACATTTGTCGTAGTGAAGGTGACACCACTGAGCTTGTAATAACCCACATTTGTCGTAGTGAAGGTGACACCACTGAACTTGTAATAACCCACATTTGTCGTAGTGAAGATGACACCACTGAGCTTGTAATAACCCACATCTGTCGAAGTGAAGGTGACACCACTGAGCTTGTAATAACCCACATGTGACATAGTGAAGGTGACACCACTGAGCTTGTAATACCTGAATCATTTTCTTTTCCAAACTCCTGAGCTAATATGTAAATTAAATAAGTTGAAAATAGATACATACTACATTTACTTTTTCTAATTTATTTGCATGTTTATGTACAAATTCCAGGCAAGAATTCAAGAATAGTGGTCAGATTAAAAATAATAATTCATTTAACTAAATAATTAATTACTTTACAACAATAACATAAGACTAACTGTAAATGTTGTTGGTATATAATATTTAATACGGACTCGCAGAGATTGTTTGAATTAATAATGAAATATTGTGTTTGTTGAGACAGTGACTTCCAAGGTGGAGACCCAACCACTTGGGCTGGACGATAGAGCGACGGCCTCGCTTCTTGCAGGTTGGCATTCAATCCCCTACCGTCCAAGTGGTTGGGCACTATGCCTTTCCCCGTCCCATCCCAAATCCTTATCCTGATTCCTTCTCAATGCTATATAATCGTAATGGCTTGGCGCTTTTCCCTGCTAGTTTTCCCTTCTCATTCCCAAGATAGAGTTTGCTATATTGATGATGAATACCTCATCGACGTCTCACTCATGATAGCATAGACTCAGCATAAATGGTGGGCATAGTGTAAGTGTAAATGATGAGTCATAGGATATGCTGTACAAATCACACATCCGGAAATGAAGGAACGGCGATGTTTCGGTGGGCCTTGGACCATTATCATGTTGAATAATGGAAAGATAGTGGACGAGTAGAGGGGGACCGGACCCTTACCCGCTCAGAAATCTCGGATTTCATCAGAACAACAACGTTGCACCACTGGACGTCGTCGTTGATGGACTCCCTGAACTGCTGTTCAGCAGTGCCGAGGCCGTACAACGTCTATTTGACCCCATCAACCTTACTGCTCTCGAGGCGGCGCACATGTTCCTCACCCCACCACGACACTACCTCGCAGCCAGGACGGTTTTTGTAAGGAGAGCGAGCTCCCTCATTTCCTAAAAAGCTGCCATCGACGTCGCCATAAGTATAACCGAAGATAACCCTTCCTTGACTTCTGTCACTGTAAAATTCACCCCTGTGCAGGACAGCACCTCTCCACCATGCAGGTCACCTTCACCTCGCCTGAGGAAGCTACCTCTGCTTCCACCAATGGCTTCCCG